ATATATATATATATATATATAACTGTAATTATATTTCATGTGTGCTCAGCTCAGGCCTCGTTCCTTTTTCCTCAATGTTTTTGCATCGACCTGACAATTAGCCCTCACGGAGAACTGACACGTGCACACCTGATTATTAATGCGCACGAAACCCTCTCTGATAAACAAACAAAACACACACTTTAGTTCACACACCATAAACAAACACTTTTCGTGCGTTTTTAAGACACACTCCTAAAAACACACAAAGATGTCGCGCTTCCACCAAACTTCCTGTCACGTGGTTTAGAAGTGATCAGTCTGGATCATGTTCAGATGATCATTTATTGGTTCATGGATTTTCCGTGTTTCATCTTTTAATTTGCTTTTGTTTTTAAACAAAGAATAAAAGAATAAAACGTGTTGATCCACGTGGGCAGAATGTTTTGTTTGTTTTTTTTTGTTTTTTTTTGGGGGGGAGAATGTCTTTTTTTTTGGGGGGGGGGGGGGGGGGGGGGGGGTGTGCAGAATGTTTACAAGTTCCTCACCATCACTCCATGATGACGCGTCAGTGCGTAAAAATGATCCGTGCGGTTTGTGAGGAGCTGGAGGGTGAAGACTTTTAACTTGTTTAGTTTTTAGAGTTTTTATCCGCAGCTCTCCTGATTGAAAAATACATCACGTGATGAAATCTTGTATTTGAGCAGCTCAGGTGGCTCAGAGAGGCTGAAACCTGTGCGCGTGTGTTGGGTGCAAACCTCCCAGCAGACTTGATCCACAAACAAAACAAGCGGCTGCTCTGTGGTTCCTCTGAAACGGAGGTCTGATTTGGAGCAGCAGCTGCGGAGGGAGCAGTGAGGAGGTGTGGAGGGAGCAGTGAGGAGGTGTGGAGGGAGCAGTGAGGAGGTGGCCGGCGCTCCGTGCTGCTTCCTCCTCAGAGCGGCTGAGGAGCGCGCGGAGCAGCCAATGAACAGAACCGGAGCGTCGTGACGCAACAGCGGCCCGTAGATAAGGAGATGGGTCCAACCCCGACCTGAGAGGGAGGACTGGAGGGTTTGGGGGGGTTCGCGGACATTCTGTCATCAGTCCATCCTCCTGTCTGCCGGTGCACGCGCAGACCGAGCAGAGCCTGGACAGCGCTGCTCAGACGACCCGCGGGACTTTATCCAGCAAAGGCTCTTCTTTATGTTTGTCCTTTTGATTTTCTCTGCCATGAAAAAGTAGTTGAGCCAAACTAACCTGCAACAGCTGGGACTGTTCATCCTGAGGAGAGGAAGCACAAATACTTTGATCTTTTCAATGTTGTTGCGAGCGGAGGCTGCAGTCCAGCATTTTCACACTTCCTCACAAACCAAAGTGCGTGATGATGTCCGAGCTGTGCGCGCGGCAGAAGCCCTGAGACCCTGCAGCCAGGAGGAGGCTCCGCGCGGAGCCTCCACAGCTCAGACCTCCTCCCCATGAGTGGAACAGAACAAACCACACAGAGTCGGTGACATGAAGAAATCACGTCGTGCGTGAGCGACAGCACGTCAGAGGAGGATTCTCTGAAAGAATTAGTTGGAGCTAAAGAAAAATGAGAGCTCACGTGTGACGGCTGCCACTGGCAGATGAGGCAGTGTGGAGAGCACGTGCCCACTTTTCTCCCACAAACTGTTTCGTTCTTCCTTCAGCTGGATTGTTCTTGTCATCGAAAGCGAAGAAAACAGCCGAGCTCTGCTTGTCGGTGCGTGACCGCGCGTGCGTTTCCTGCTGCCTCTCATGGACATCTTGACGCGCAGATCCGGAGAAGAGAACAGCTACAACATCCTCCCCTCTGCGGCAACCATGCTTTTCCATGGCCTCCCCGGGGGCGACGTGCACGGTGTGGTGGAGGAGATGGAGAGGAGAGGAAAGGGCGAGTCAGCGGCCATCAGCTCAGCCATCGATATGGGGGAGTCAGAGACGGTAGGACCCCCGACCGGCCCGGCCCGGCCCGGCCCGGCCCGGCCCGGCCCGGCCCGCTCTGACCCAGACAACAACTACACAATTATTTTCATAAACTTCCTCCATGCAGTGATTTATTGAGGCGCGCACGAGTCCAACATTTATTTAGCTGCAGCAGCAAAGCACAGGACAGCAAGGGTTAATAAAAAAGATTCATAATCAATTAGCCTCATTTTTATCTTTGTTTCTTTTCTTTACGTTTGATTTGTTTTATTTTATTTTGTCATGCATTTAAAATATCCAAATTAGAAATCACATTTTATTTATTTCATTTAAAGGGAACAAAATATATATATTATATATTTTTTACAGGAAATATGTTTTTAAACGCTGCAAACATGTTTTATTATTATTATTATTATCATAATACTAATACTATCATAATAATATTATTAATAATAATATTAATATAATGATAATAATAATTATCATGATTATAATAATGATTATAATAATAATAATGTTGAGTTATTTGGTGGTTCTGCAGCTCAGCGAGGCAGATGGATGTTAGCACAAATCAAAGGCCTCCTGGAAGCATGGGCGAAGGATTTGTGTGTAAATGAAGCTTTTCTGACAACAGCTTTGTTCTTTAACAGCGACTGACAGAACACACACACACACACACACACCAGTTCATGTCATGACGCCAGTATGAGTGCACGCGCATGCATGCTGGGCTTTCCTCTACTTTATTTCATGTGATGTGCACTTACTGGGATCATGTCGGTGCTTTGCTAATGTGCTGGAAAAATGCTTCAGAACCTGCACATGTCCTCCACCAGTCAAAGTCTGAGATAAAAATAAGATTGAAGTATTTTATTTAAAAATACTTCATCACATTTTTTATTTTTTTTATTTTATGGCAGATAGAGTTCAAAACATGTAAAGAAATAAGATTTGAGAAAATAAATTAACAAAGCCTAAACACACACACACACACACACTTATAAATAAAATAATAATAATAAACTATATATATATATATATATATATA